CTGCAGCTCTCACACTTGAATTATTGCTTTAAAAATGAGACCTTTGGTACAACCCCACTGGCTTCTGCTCAGAGGAACACAGACCTATGGGCTCTTGCAAAGCACAGAGTTAATGATGATTAAAGTGGCATGTTAGCACAAACCCAACACTGAGCATGCTCCTGAGGAGAATGAGATGCTCACAATTAGGCATCTGGTTTGTATCTTGTTGCATTAAAGCTAGGATAACAAATGGGAAATAATGCCCAAGGTAATGACAACCCAAAAAATGTACTTCTGTGATTCATTTTCACATCAGCACCCACTTTTTACTGCTCCAAGGTGAGTTATTTGCCTGCAATATAAGGCCTCACTCCAGCTTTTTGCTACCAGGCTCTAAAAATTACCTCTCCAGAGAGAATTAGCGGACTTGAAGATCAGCAATGTGCCAAAAGGAAAGCTTCTGCTGCAGAATGAAAGCCACAGAGAAATTGAGCAAATGTACCTTTTATAAGCTCTTGCTGCTTGAACAAAATTTTTCTTATTTCATTCAACCATGCCATCTTCAGATCTACTGTTTGGGCCTGGAAGAAGAGAAAATTGTCTGAATTTTGAATTAAGAGTCATCCATTATAATGTAGGAATAAAACCTTACTTTTCTATGCTGTAATTATCTGAAATCCCCTTTTTCCCCAAAGCTACTACTAAATTTTAAACAGTCTTGATCTTTTAAAATTGATGATTCCCATTAGATCCAGGCAAGGCACAGTGGCAATTGTAGGGCTATCACTACAAGCAGGGAGATCAATGAGACATTTCCTCCCCACAGTTCTGAGGATGTGCAAATACCCAGATTCTGAAGGGACAAACCTGCACCACATACACCTCCTCTCTCCCACTGTACCAGATCTCAAATTTCCGATGGTCTCCTTTCACATTCTCAGTTATCCCAACTGCATTCATCTGCAAACCCAAACAAACAGAAAATTAAACACAGCACAGAGCTCTCTCTTCCCCAGGAATGCAGACTTTGGCAGCAAGTGAAACCTGTTTGCACTGAATTTAACATGTTGCATCAATTTCAATTTACTTAGCAACTGGAAGTCATTATCTGTCTCATTCCTCCTGACTTTCTATCAGCTGCATTTTGGATGAGTTTTCCACAACAAATCAATGGACCTTTGGGAACTTCATTTGGGAACCAGTGCAACCAACTGAAGCATCATCTCAGCTGCCTCTTTCTGCACAGAATGTCTCAGATTTGGCAAATGAAGATTTGTAAATACTTGACATGTTATAATACACATTATTTATCCCCACAGATTATTTCTTTCCAAAAGCAGGGTTAATTATTGGGTGCCCCAAGCCTGGCTTGCAGCTGAATGCTGCTTTACTCATCATCCCCATCCACTTCTGTCAGTTTGGATGAAACACCAAAGGCCCAAATCCTTCAGGACCTGCACAGTGTGACCCACCTGAACCAAGCTCAAACCATGATTAGAGACACAAAACTCTTCAGCAACAGGAGAGCTCTGCCCTCCCTCCTGAGCAGGCCATGAAGCTGAAACCTGCTGCAGTACCTGACAGCACAGGAACCATCCTCTCCCTCAAAGCAGGGTTTGCTGGCAATTATTCACTGATTAAGGCATGGCCAGAAATAGCTCCAGTATCCCACTTGCATGTTTTGGAACAGATGTAATAATAAAGGTATCATCTATCATAAATTATTCACGCAGACTGGATCAGACAAATCCACTATAAACACAAACAAACCCTCAGAAATAACATCTGTTCACCAGAGCTGTTCCTCCTGACAATGTGTGCGTGCCCAGGTCTGAAAGCCCTGGATGATTTACAGCACAGGTGCTGTGGACAAATGTTCTGTTCCAACTGTTTCATGGTGCTGCCCCTTTGCAGGGACAGGAGCAGCCCCAGGGAGCAGGAACCAAGCTGCTCCTGGCAGCACAGAAACACTGAGGCTGGAACAGACCCCGAGACCATCGAGTCCAACCACGAACCCAGCCCTGCCAAGGGACACTGACCCTGTCCCCAAGTGCCACCTGCACAGGGCTTTAAACCCCTCCAGGGATGGGGACCCCTGCCCTGGGCAGCTGTGCCAGTGATGCCCACTCTTCACAGCCAGGCTGAACCCCCTGGCACAGCTTGAGGCCATTTCCTCTTTAGAAAGCTGGATGAGGCTCCAGTTTGATTTCATAAAAACTTAAAATTGATGAAAGCTGTTGGGCAGCCTAGGGCACCTCATCTATAGAGTCACTGCAATTCCCAGTTCTGTGCACCTTGTTTGCCTTGGCAATTTATAGAGGCTCCTACAAAACTGCCCAGGCATCAAGACATTAGAAATTTTAGATGATCTACTATGATGATGCCCAGAACAAGTGCCAGGAAGAGACAGATTTAAGGTCTGTTAATTCAGGTTAGTGGATTTGAAAATTCCATTTCCTCCCTCTGGCCAGGATTTACTGTCAGCTGCTGGATCACTGCACATCCCTGTGGGGCACACAGCCCTCAGCAGCAGAAACCAAACCCCATGTCAGAGATAAAACCCCCTGGCTCTGCAGAACTACTGCTCTGCAGTATACATGGCTGTGTAAAACACCCTAAGATTATAACAAAAATAAAACACAAAAATAAAACCCCTTACTTTCAGAAAGTGCTTAAAGCTGTAGGATGAGGTTTTGTCATATCCATCCCCGTGCTCCTCTCTCTTCTTGCAGAAGACCAAGGCTTTCTCATAGAGGAACAGGTGCCTCTGCATGGGCTTGAACCTGGCCAGATCCTTCATCTTTGTGGGCCCTTTTCGGTGTCCTGCCCAAACACTGAAAGATCCCTGCATCAATACTTTCCCCAGTTCGCTCAGGTCACCCTGGGAAGAGCATGACAGACAAAAAGGAACGAAAAAGAGGTGAATTAAAATGTGAGAGGGCTCTCCAAACAATGCCAGGACACGGCCAGCTCTGCTCCAAGGCACGTCCCTCTCAGAATAGTTCTTCCTGGAAGGACCAGGGGATCTTTGGGAAGATGGCCTGGAGCCAGGGGAGCACAGCCCTCATGCAAGGCTGCAGCCAGCCTAGGAGGGCAGGAACTGGAAGAACTAAAAGAACAGAAAACCATGCAGTCCCTAGGGAAGAGCATGTCAAGGGCTCTGGCTGCTTTAGTGGGACAGGGAAGTGAGCTTTGAGCCTGAACTGAGGTACCAGGAGATGGAACTCTCCAGAAGGCCAGGCCCGGGATCAGCAGCTCCCCTGAAACCCTAGGAAATACAACCACTCCAATGGGAAAAATTCAAACTCAGCCTCAGAGAGGCATTTGTGAAATGCTGAATGGGAAATGCTACAGGAGAGTTACCCGGTCAGTCATGAGAACACAGAGGGACACTGGAAAAATACTCCAGAAAACCACAAGGTGGCAAAGTGTGGGCACTGAGCAGCTCAGGATATCCCAACCCCTGAAATCAGATGCAGACTGTCACCTGTGAGGGCTCCTGATCCCAAACCCCTGCACAGGTTCAACTCCCGCACTCTGCACACCCCCATGCCCAGAGCATCCCCAGCCCTGTGCCAGGGCTCTCAGTGCCCAGAGCCACTCACATCATAGCCTGTGATTGAAATCTGATGCATGGAGTCATTGACTGACTTCAGCAAATCCAGCATTGCAACCAGAGCTTCTTGAAGTTCCTGAACCCCATCACAGCTCGTGCTGTACTTTAGCAGCTCCTGAAAATAGAAATGGGAGAGCACATGTTTGCACTTGAACAAAGCAGATCTTTCCACCTTGCCCAAAGTTTCCAATGCCCACAAGTGACCTACACTGCGTTTCTTCTTTCATGTCCCTGGAAAAAGGCTCCCTCTAAAGCACAGTCAGTGTGAGGTGTGGACAGGCCAGTGAGGGATGGCCTATTTTTAATGTTTCCTTAAGGATGGAGTCAGCACAGAGCAGCACCACATTCTGACCCCTTTGTGCTGTGTTTTCCTGCTTGGTGAGATATGGCAAATGAGGCAAATGGGGTTATTCAGATATGGCAAATGAGGCAAATGGGGTTTTCATTAGTGCCAACATGCCCTCAAAGGAGCTTGCAGCAGATCACTGTCTTCAGACTGGCAGGAACAAGAATTTATAAAACCCAGAGCCTTCAGGTCAGTAAATGAAGGACAGAATTTTAACACTCAGACGAAATTGGTTTCATTTCAGATGTCCTGTGCCCACCTACAGCTGCATGTATACTCATTCAAGAGGCTGGAAGGAGGTTCAGAAGCTACCCCCAAGTGTAACTCCTGCCTTACACAGTGAGAATAACTGCACTGCCCTGCCTCAGATGGGGGACACAGAATAAACGCATTAAAGATTACAGGTGCTATCGATACCCAAGGAGAAGAGATGCAACAATTCATTTCACTCATCAGAGTCTCATGATCGTCTCTGGCTTGGTTTTCTTACAAGTGTATCTGTAGTTCTGCATCTCTGAACAACTCAAAGATTCTTTCTCTCCTTAAAAATGGCCTGCTACAAGCACCTGTTCCTTTTCCAGATATGTGAACATTCATCTGCACTGAAAGGCACTTCAGGAGAGGCCCAGATAAGCAATATGTCATCCAAGGCTTGGTGCTGATTTACAGGTCACCTCTAATTGAAAAACAACAAATCTAATCTCTCTGCTGATGGCCTT